GGTTTTAGTGTGTATGTTAGTGGGAAAATCAAAACAGATAGATCTATTAAAGATCTCCGCCATCCACGTTGTAAAGGAAAACTATATTCCAGCAACCTTCCTACTGCTTCAGTGGTTATCCCTTTTTTTGAAGAGCATTGGGAGACTCTCCTACGCACAGTCGCATCTGTTTTGAATCGAGCTCCTTCAGGACTAATCAAGGAAATAATTTTGGTTGATGATGGAAGCTCACGAAAATATCTGAAAGATGAACTTGATAATCATCTTGCAATTGCGTATCCAAGTGGTATAGTACGTGTAATTCACCTGGAACAGAGGGGAGGTCTTATTCGAGCGAAAACAGCAGGCGCCAGAGAAGCTACTGGAGAAGTGCTCATTTTTCTGGATTCTCATTGTGAAGCAGGAATAAACTGGCTTCCGCCGCTACTTGATCCAATTGCTGCGGACTACAAAACTGTTTTGTCCACTTATTGATGTAATAGATGCAGATACTTTTGAATATCGTGTACAAGATGAAGGGGCTCGGGGAGCATTTGACTGGGAGTTGTACTATAAGCGCCTTCCACGATTACCAGAAGATAGATATCATCCTGAGGAGCCTTTTGACAGTCCAGTGATGGCAGGAGGTCTGTTTGCTATCAGTGCGAAATGGTTCTGGGAACTTGGAGGCTATGATCCTGGACTTGTTATTTGGGGTGGAGAGCAATACGAGTTATCGTTCAAGATTTGGATGTGTGGAGGGCGTATGATTGATGCCCCGTGTTCTAGAATAGGCCATATATATCGTAAATATTCAACTAACTTTCCGAAAGCAGAATTTGGGGACTTTGTTGGTCGTAATTACAAGTGAGTGAAACCGTTGTATTATTTTACTGACTATCTAGGACATCGTCTACGGTATTTTCCGTTGAATTTTTAAGTTTATTTCTAACATTCGATAACATTATAGTTTAAGACAAAGTACACTGATTTGTACAAAATCGACATATATTTTACTTCGCTCTTTGAATTTTTTGTGTAATTTTGACCGCACAATTATGATTCGCGTACTCAATTGAAATCTAAGAAAATTTCTTTACTGAAGTTCAGATTCATGTATTTTCTATAAGAAGTGGTGACACTACCTAACTCTTCAGTGATATATGTTGGCTAAATCCATACTTTCAGCTTAATAGTCGCAAAACCAACTTTCCTCTAATTTTCAACTACATGAAGGCTTTAGTGTCTCTCATGTCTTTTCAGAACAAATTTTTGTGTCCTTATTTTTAGTTAACTACAACACAAACCGATCAGTTGACTATATACCAAGGATAGGATTTAATCACCTCAGACTGGTGCAATTTGTAAACAAGAAATGTGCAGGTAAAATACTAATTAAACTTAGACAATAAGTTGTTCAGTTTTGAAAGTGATGACACAAAAATGAATTTCACCCACATGGTCTAGCGTTGCCAGCGGTCTATCGCTGCTATCATTGTGGGTTCAGGTTAGGATCCAGATAAGTATAAATGGATTTAAATTAATATCGTATCCCACCACTATACGGTCAGAAGTGTAATGTTGAATATGACTGGAAAATGCTGTTTTACATGACTACTCAAAGTTTTCTGTTGCCATTAAGTAAAACATTTAGTTAAGTCATTAGCAAGTTTTGTATCACACGTCACATTAATAGAAAGTATCGCAACCTAATGTGGTGGATAAATATGGATAAGGCAGTAACTAACACGATTGAAAAGTCGGAAAACACATTTTCATCTATAGAATATATCTGGACACATAAAAATCAATATTTTGACCCAGGACACTTCAATAAGAGCTTCATTATGCAAATTAGTTTGGGTAGTCAATTTGATAGGCTGATCTTTTTATTTCGTGTAACATGCTAACCTGAGTAACTTAAGTGTGGTCAATATCTACATAACTTCATGAAAGTAGAATTATGAACTTTTTGGTGAAGTAAGTAATTGAAATAACTGTGTTGTATTTCCACTAACATCTGGGACCTTGTATACATTAGATTTGTTGCATAGTATCAGTCGACATTGAGTTAAAATACTCAAATAAATGACCCCTGATTTACTCAGAGAACAAATGTCTTTTGGAAATTCCCAAAGTAGCCAGTTTGATAATATGCTGTTCTCCTTCACTACATATCTGGTTAGCTTAAATAAATCTAGAGGATGATGAATCATCCTCATACTTTCACCTCAGATCATTCGTGTGTATGAAAATATGACCGAACTACTTGTACAGTGTGGCTGACTGACTGACTTACCACCTTTGACCTAACCACTCCTATGAATCCGGTGTTCATCTTACTGTGCTAATGAGGTATGGCAACCTGGATCGATGCACATATGTGCCTGGTCCTACGTTGTAGCTGACTGAATGACTTGTACAGTGTGACTAGATGCTAGTAGTAATTAAAAGATATGGTGAGTGAAACACCAGTTCTTATAATTTGGTAAATATCGACTGCACTGTCTACTCGTTCTGATATTTTATTCCGTATCAGCCCGAAAGTGACAAAGGTGAAAGCTGGTCTGCGCAATTGATAAGAATGTTAGCTTTCAATAAACCCTATAATTGTTTTCAGTCCTTCAGACTGAGTACTTTGGAAAAAAATGTTAGAAATATGACTACGAAGCTGATTAGTTTTCTGTTGTTTCGGTTGTGGAAACTATAGGACAGCAAACAAGTTCCCTCAAATCTCTTCAAAGTAATAGAGTTTTGTCTGCTTTTATAGGTAGTAACGAGGGGATTTTAAGGTTTAAAATAGTCTGGATTTACAATCCACTCAACCAGGTTGACCACATATAGGTTTACAACAACTTGTGCTATTTAACATACCTAAACAAATTGAGTTATTAGGAAACTTGAATAATCATTTTCTCGTCTCTATATGAACCTAGGTGGTAAAAAGTGAACTCAGTATCACCAGACAGCATAGAATATTAATGCCATAGATGGGAATTCTATGCGTTAAAATCTATGATTTACTCTTACTGCTTTGTAAATAGTCATCCATCAGTCAGTCAGTCAGTCAGCTACAACGTAGGACCAGGCACATATGTGCATCGGTCCAGGTTGCCATACCTCATTAGCACAGCAAGATGAACAGCGGATTCATAGGAGTGGTTAGGTCAAAGGTTGCAATAAGGATATAGTATAGGAAGAAAGAATTAGTTCGTAGACAGAAAGAATGAAGTGATTTTAGTCTCTTAGTTTAAGGGAAGACAGGGAGTGTATACACCGACGCCATTGTGATCGATTCTGAGCCATGTCACCAAGAGTCTCCAACCATTGGTTACGAAAGTCACGCGGACCCCAACCAAGTAGTCTGCATCTACCAACATGGCTCAGACTAGAAGTTAGTGACTTCAGGCACTGATGCCACGTTTTGGTTTGGCCGCCCAATCTTTTGTTTAGGTGGTCAGAATCCAGTCTTCGATGTAAGATAGATAAAGTTGCGAAACTCTATTTACAGCAATCATCTGTCAGTGTCCGATGTTCGGTTCAACAGATTTACCATTCGAAATACCTGGGAAGAGAAAACCAAGTTTAATCCATCTTATAAAAGCACCATCTCAGTCCAAAGAATTTGTGGGACTGAGTATAATATTCGGAGATGACGAAAAGCTTTAATTTAAGGTTTGAAAACTTATTTAGTATCGTAATGAGAAATGATATGCGAAAACTATTCTTTACATAGTACTGTTTTTAGGGAATAAAATAATACAAAGCCAAGTACTTTTTTGTGTCAGAGAAATGAAAAGAATTGTTTTCATTTCTTCTTCCTCACTTCAATTGTTTACTGTGTCATTTATTAACTTGGTGATCAGCTGTAATAACTTAAGTCGAAGTACTGGGATTAACATAAATTTAATCAATCAACATCAAATAATCTGTAAAAATTCAAAAGATCCAGTATTTATAGCTTATAGCGACTGAAACTTTACACTACTAACTTCTTGTTTCAATTACTAAGGTTCCTTAATCTCATGCTCGTGTTACCCCTGATTGATGTCATGTGCTCTCGTTTTCAAGTGTAATTGCATTTCATGCAATTACTGAGTTGTCGGCTCATTTTTTCTCTTGTTCTTTTTTCTTTCAGATGATCTCACTTACTGCTCCTAACACCTTCAAGACAAGATACCTTCAGACTAGACAAAAACCTACCAAAGGCTAAATGTTATAATATAATTGCGAGGCTACCTAATTTTTCGAAGTTTCAAGAGACATAGATTTAACGTAGTCCCTTGTTTATCAGATTGAGGTTCCAATTTTTGCTTTTTTCTTGTCTCTGAATAATCAGAGACCTAAGTATTACTGTCTCTTTGACGTGCAAAGCTAAATGTAATTATCATACCCTGAGGCCAGATAGATTTATTGAAAAACCAGTTTAAAGGATTAGGTTTTAAATGGACAAAGTAAAATATATGAGACTGGTTAAATATGACTATCACGTTATAAGGTTCTATCATGCTGTAAAAAGATCTATTTTTAGTAGAGATACTTTCAACAGAGTTACTCAGTCTGTGTATACTGCCAACATGTCATTTAAAAATATTTTTTAGAGTTGAAAGTTAAGTCGACGTTATCACCTAACTCTGAAATCAAGACGTTAGACGACTCTCTGTGTTCGATCATCGCTGTCTCCGAAGGATTGCTGACATTCAGTGGCAACACCATGTCAGTAATGCAGAGGTTCGGCATCGTGTGTTCGGGCACTGAGATGATAATTCAATTGGTGTCACCATCTTGAAACACCGACTTCGATGGCTTGGACATGTTCTACGAATGTCGTCCCAGAGAATTCCACGTCGTGCATTATTTGCCGACTCTGGGACTGGTTGGAAGAAGCGGAGAGGTGGTCAGTGCATGACATGGTGTCGTGGTATAAAAGAAATCTGCAAAGGACTGGCTTCTGTCGGTCCTTCACAACTCCCTGGTTGGGGTCCGAGAGATGGTGCTACACAGTGGCTAGAGACGTTATGAGATATGGCTCAGAATAGAAGCCAGTGGCAATCCTGCTGTAACCTTCTTTTACTTTCTTCATAGAAAGTGGTTGTGTCTCCCTTACCTGAAAGATTTCTTCCGATTGTACCTTTGCGTTCCCTGATTACTAGCACATTACCTTACACCAATCTCTTCGTTATTGTTCTCTCTTTTTTTGTTGCGCCCCTTAGCTTTTTTTTCTTTCTTTGTATTCCTCTCGAATTTTCATTGTTTTGTGTGGCGCATATATATTGGCGCTCTCCTGTACCAATATTCATGTGTCCAAATAAATAAGAAATCAAGACAGTTATCACCAAAGAGCTGATTCATCATTCTCTTCATGCATTGCCCCATATATTTACATCATCTGAAGTAAGGATCTTGAAAAATACTTTGTGGTAGGTCGTTCATGTTTATTAGTAGTGGCTGTAATCTCTTCAATATTTTTTTAGCAAATCTGATCACTGGCACTATTAAACAAAACAACTCTCCATGTATAAAATGTAATACATCCCTTTATAATGAAGTGCCATTCAAATTACAGTCGGTATTTCTTGTACTCAAACGTATTTTAAACATTCAGCTAATGAATATAATGGATGAGTATAAGACTGAAAGGAATCTAGAGGCTGGTGATTCTGTATTGATGTTATTTCCAATTATATATTGAGTTAAATGAAATGATTTTGAATGACACCCAGAGTTTTCATATTTGAAAGTTCTAATTGTGAGATGTAAATGATTGGAGATCAGAGGATTGGTTTAGCCCATTCTCAATAAACACAGTTTACCCAAACTACTTGCAAACGTGTTCAAATAAGTTTTCGTCACTATTTATGGATTGTAGTTTTTATTTGTTAAATTGCCTCATAGTTCCACGTCTCGTTGTCTAATATCATTTTTAGTAGTGTTTAACAAAAAATGGATCCAGTCCTGACACCAGAAATGATACATATCGGACCTCGCCATTATAGGAAAAATGCATCAAAGCAATGTTTTGTTCAGCCCTTTCCTACGTCCATTAGTCAAATCGAAGAGGTTCCAGATGTTGAAGAAGTAGATATAGATGAAAATGATCCAGAAACTATGGAAATAAACAGGAAAATTATGGCAGTTGATAATGGGTATACTGCTTCGTTTAAGGTTCCACCGTTATTTCACAAGTTCATTGTTGGTGTTCAACACTCAAAAAAAAAACTGTTAGAAGACGAATTTCGTTGTTACATTGATATCCCGAATTCTGGTTCTAGTTCTTCAATGGTCTCTGTTACTGCGACGTCAAGATTTAACGTTTTAAATGCATGTCGTCGTATTCTCTGGATAGTGACTGATGCACGTAATCGGTGTCAACCAACTCATTTCATTTGTTTACCAGTTACTTGTCCAACTGTTAAAGATAATTTTCAGACATTCAAACAGTCTGTTTTACAAGCTGCTAGTGAATGTCCTCATGATTTTATGGGCGTGGATAGTTCTATCTTTCATTCAGTGTCTACGTTACACTTCACTTTGGTAACTCTTGTGTTGGCTGATGAATCCGAAGTTGAAAAAGCATGTGAAATATTAAAGACTTTCTACAAATCTCAAAGAGGTATTCAGTTGTTTGCATCTGGTCCTCTCCAACTAACTATTAAAGACCTTGAATATATGAATGACGACCCTACTTCTGTACATGTACTTTATGCAAAGGTCAGTGTATTTTGTCTTCTGTATTAGTGAATGTGTTAACCGGTTACGGCTTCACACTTAATACAAGATATGAATGTCTTAATTTTCTATTCTGTTTCGATTCTTATTATTATATGACATGTATTCATGAAGATATGGAGAGTATGAATGAGACGTGAATAAATTTTAAGTAAACTGTTGAATAATCTAAATCGCTTGCCCACTGATTAAGGTATTCATTTTTGATTATTGGGTTCCTAGGTTTAAACTCCTCTACCTACTTTGAATTGATCAGTCAAATAGTATCACCTGATCTCATACAAAATGTAACCGAAAGCCGTATATATAATTTGTTCCTTATTATTCTACTGAATATTCTGATGTTAAATTTCAAAGATTGGATTTTTATGTCTCGCCCTGATGATGGTTATTAGTAAGCACTGAACTAAGATTAAGGGCCTAAAGTTATCCAGTGAGGAAGATTTATCATTATGTCAGTCTTTTAGCTTGACAACCAAAGTGTGGAGCTTGTCTGGCAGGCTTTTGTTACCACTAAGGTATGATATAAGTAGACAACATGTGAAATATTATCCTTGAATAACATCTTCAAACCCTAATTTTTCTGGTTACAGCTTATAATCTTGCTACATCTAGCACTACGGGATTTAAATCGACAACTGCATCTCTGTGCTAATGTGGTGTGGCAACTCGAACTGATGTACGTAAGTATGAAGTTCTACGTTGTTACTGACTGATTGAATTGCAATACACTTTTCCAAAAATTCTGTAGGATAGTTCCTAAAAATGAAATCGGAGTAGTTGTGTGAGAAGAAGCATGAGAATATCAATCTGTTAACTTCTTAAAAGTCTCAGTTTATTAGTCCTCTATATTTGATTTTTCTCCAATTACAAAGTGGTATACCGTATAAAAAACGATATACAAGAGGAATCTTTTGTCATTTTTACGGATTATAGGGAAATGAGATACTCCAGCTAATAAATGTTTTACCGCATTATCCAACTTTAGTTATTTAATCAATCAGTCGAATAAAACGTGAAATTCGGGAACATTATACATTGACCTAGTTTCCACACTTCATTGCGAGATGAAATTAATAAAACGCACTTCATAGTTGACCGATTCACGTATACATTGCATATGACTGGTTGATTGATTAGTTGATCGTAATTAGCTGAATATGCTGACTTTGCTTAGACCGACAAATAATTTGTTTTGATCTGAACTGATTATTTCTGTTTTTGTTTTCAATCATTTTACGTTAGCTGATGGAATCATCAGATTCACAAAGACTACAAACAATTGCTAATGAACTATTGAATCTACTTACTGAACAAAATCTAACCAGCACTGGGTCATATCGTCCGGATAATAATGTAAAATTACATATGACTTTACTTAATTCTAAGTATCGTCAGGAAAAAAGCAATCGTGACGCTTCATTTCAAGGTTTCTCACCTAATACTCGTACATCGTTCAGCATAACCGGGATTTTAAAAATTGCAGGAAATTTTTACTTTACTGAAAATCAGTCTTTTCATCAAATTTGTTTGTGTGATCGTTTGTCATTTGATTCTTCAACCCAGTTTTATAAATGCTGTTGTAAGCTAGAGTTCACTACTGATGGTATCCATTGTTCTCACATCAATAAAATGTGAATAGCTTTTATTTGAAATATTTCAGTTTAAGTCTTTCATCTACATTTTATGATTTGTGTATTCTGAAAATCCGACTTCCCAGATTACTTCTTGAGTTATTTGATGACAGTTTGATAACAACACTATCTCATACTGTGTACAGTTTTATTTTATATCACTGTTCTCTTCAGTTGCACAATCTTTCTATGTAACCGCGATGTTTCAGGAAAGTAATTACTCGAATACATAATCAGTTTTCTATTTCTTCAGTTTGTCATTTCTCATAAAAACTGCACTACCATTTCTAATAATAACAGGTTTTTTTTCTGATTGTAGATAGGTAATATTAGCTAATTGTGTCTACAATCAAGATTTTCCTTCAAACATATTGTTTATTTTATAAAATTAAGTCTACATGACTGAATGATTGGATCAACTCCAGTTATTCTACTCGTAGTTGAGTAACTCAAAATAAAATACTATTATTAGTTCATTTTAATAAAGTTGTCGATAGAATACAAGGAATTATTTTAGTTTTCAAAGTTATTCTTCAATGTTAATTAATCTTAGTATCTTGCTTTAAATTAGAATTTGATTCTGTTTGATTAACAGCGCACGTGGATCAAACAAGTTGATTGTGTACATTTTTAACTGTCATATAATTTAAGTCATGAAACTTAATAGTACTTAATATAGGGTGGTTGTAAAAATTGTTGAATTTCATAACATCCAATGATCTAAGATAATTACTGAAAACTAGTTAGCATTAGACAGCCGTTCCATTCTACAATGGGGTTCCTTAGCTGTGTATGTACACGAGCTCCAGTCCTAGACCTTCAGGTCTCGCGACAAGCGCCTAACCTTGGTGAAGTTGTGCATACTCACTATTGAGTAATTTTGTGTTAGAACGATACAGTTATTCATAACTTTCGGGCTTTCAATGGTTGTTTGAATAAGTTCAGTTCACGATGTAATTTCAGCTAACAGATGTACTAGCACTGATAGACTATTCACCTCTTGATTTTCATGTCTCGGCATCCCATCAACCTTTCTAATAAATCGAATTCAGTGATGATGTATATTATTTGTCTTAACTAAATTGCTTTTGTTATTATCTAGTTAATTTCAGCCACAAACGGTTAGCAGAAATTCGTTTAATATTAATTTTATTACTGATACGCTTTAAGACTTTAAAATACCTTACAATTTACTTGTTCAAAATTGGTTGTGCTGTTAATTTTAATAAACGATTAGTCCTGGGAAGACAATCGAAATCATTGCACAATTATTGACTTTTATGAATTTGTCTTATGCAGTTTTAGTTATACTTTTGAAAACCTATGATTTTATTTTATTTTAGTAATATGCAGTCATTAAATCCCTTTTTACAACAAAAGACATGATAATAGTACATCATTTCTTGACTTTTCCTCCCAAAAGTCCTAAAAGTCTATACATTTAGGAATGATATGGAATAGGCGTTAAGTCGATTTCGACATTTTTAGACACAACCCAGATAAAATCTCTCCAAATGTTGTGATAACGTAATGAAACTTGTGTTGATTGTGATTTGTTATTCTGTAGTTACTCGTGAAATGTAATTATCCATTTTAACTTGTTTACCGGCGGAAACATACATTCGGCCGAACAACCTGGACTTATGAATTCTTGATATATCTGTGACCTTAATAAAATACCAAGTCAAAATAACGTACTACCAACTCTGTATTTATTCTTATTGAATCCAAAAGCGGAAAATAACTTACACGGGATTTTTCTAAGAACATCTATATCATTTAAAGTCTAGCTTTTTATTGTGAATATATAGAATTAAACTGAAATCGATGCGTATTAATAAATTCGCGAAAATTCAGCGGATATGTAAAAACACCAGTCGCTTTATTTAGGTCATCGAATCATGATACTAAATGAATCGTCCAGAAATTAGAAATCTAATCATATTCAGAATATTACCTTGAGAACATCATTACATGTATTTATGGATACAAAGAATTATCTAAATATTAAAGAAAGTATTGGTCAATCTAATATTTTATAATTATCTTTTATGAATATAAACCATTTTAGTAAATTTGCGTTCCGTAGGTCATGATTTTAATGGAAATTAGGTAAGCATACGAATGAATTGAAACAGTAGTCTTTATCATTTCATTAATTGGTAGAAGGTAAATAATTCCTGTTAACTGTAATTCTTATTGTAAGGAAAGTTTTATTCTAACGTAAATTAAATAAACATCTAAGAATTATTCGTTACTCATCATTTCAATGAAAGTAAGTATTGTCAGAACTTGACTTACTCGCTCTGACCATATTATGGATACCATAAATATCTATGGTACATGTAACCTAAAACAGTGGATCGTTTTCAATATAGTCTATTCATATGGATCCAAACTTAATCGCCTGTGTTTAGTTTCGATCCTGGTACGATTGATTCCCATGGTTGACAATTTCACACTATTAAAGATATTTTATTAGTTGTTAAACTTCTCTTATATTCTCTTCGTTGCCCCCAACTGCCAAGGGTGAGGAGAATCCTCCCTCTCGAAATGCTCTCATGTGTAGAGCCACCATCAGAGATGTCTTAACTACCTTCTCGTAGTGTTGCTATGATGTCTGGTACTATGTCAACCCACATAGGTTATTCTAGTCTCTGGACAAACCTGTCTATTCATTCTTCTTAAGCCACATTTTTACCCTGTCACTTATTTGCTTATTAATCCTAACTTGTTTTTATATGACCGTGTGTGCGTGTATTGCTTACCCCAGTCATTACATGTCTGTAACGTTTGTCTGAATATGAATATCGATTAACGTTTGATTAAATGGAGTTGGCTCATATGACTTCTCCGATCCGCTCCACCTCGTTACCTTGCTTGTCTGTCCAGATCCACGATCGATCGAATCCTTATTAACAGTCGGTTATGTACTGTTAGATTTGAAAGTTCTACCAAAGTGCGAAGAAATCGGTATGAGAGACGATGTATTTTCGTCATCCCTACGCTCAGACAGATTGCAGCCCGGATGTGATCACTGCTTAGTTTTACAACCAGTTAAATATTCTTCTACGAAAAGTGCGTCCGAAAGATATTTCAATGCTAACCAGAGACTTGAATGCTCCGGTCGGTTGTCTAGGTACAAAAGAGAGTCTTTAAGGTGGTCGATGTGAACTTGCTGGTCTCAGGTCAGAAAACGGTGACCACAAACGAAGACTGTAAGGTGATGAAATTGTGAAAAGATTGCGTAAAGACCGAAGAGCCTGATGGTCAGAGCGCGCTAACGAGTTAGAAACAACAACTATCCCCGAATACTGCCCGTAGCTCTTCCAACTCATCCGAGTCACTAGCAGCAAGACGTTTGATGTAAGTGAAGCTAGTGGGATGCCAATCAACAACATTTACCGACGTCTTAGACGAATTTTTCGAGGAACAGTCCAACTGGCCTGCTGTCTCGGCGACATCGATCAGACTTTTCTGCCTTCCACTGCCAATGACGACTGATTCACCTGACAACGCGGAAGTTTGCAAGAAACTCCGACTCCTGAAGTGCCACAAATCACTAGGCTCAGCCGACTTGTCTTCAGTCCTTTTTAAAGATGGTGGTGACTTTCCGGTTATGGAACTAACTGAGATATTTACAAAAGTCTGGCAATTGGAGTGTCCAACGTCGTGGGATGAGTTGACAGTTATCCATATCTTTAAAGACAGTTTATGTCGTTTCTAAGACAACTATCAAGAGATAAGTCTGCTTCTGATTGAGTGCAAATTATTGGCTTCTATCTTACTTCGTAGATTGTTCAAAATCCAAGAACGATTGATTCGTGAGGAGCAGGTCGGGTTTCATTCTGACCGAGGATGTATCGATCATATCTTCCACCTCCGCCAAATGTTAGAACACCGACATAATTATTACAGGCAAACAATCGTAGTGCTTCCTGACATCAGGGCTGCCTTCGATTCGTTGGACAGGACTGTTCTCTGGGATTGTCTATTGAAGAAAGGTGTGCATGAGAAATTTATTAACATCTAAGCCCTATATACAAAGGGACACCAATGGGATCACCAATATCAGGACTGATCGCAGAAGCAGTGATGCAACGACTAGAAGCCACGATATTACCAGTGATCAAACCAAAAATTTGGATTCGCTACGTAGACGACACCTTCGTCATCGTCAAAAAGGATGAACTGGAAAACACATACAAATTGATCAACAACGTCTTCAATGACATCAAGTTCACAATGGAACAGGAGTCAAACAACCAACTAGCATTTTTGGATATATTGATCACTAGAACTGATACAGGAAAACTGGAAACTCAAGTATATAGGAAATCAACCCATACAGATCAAATTCTCAACTACAACAGCAACAACCCAAGGGCTCACAAAATCAACTGCGCACACACATTGTTCAAGAGGGCGAGAACACACTGCAACACACTGGCAGCACGAAGAAATGAAGAGAAATACCTTAAGGACATATTCCAAAAGAACGGCTACCCAATCAATTTCATCAAAAAGCACCAACGGCACACAGCATCACAACCCAAGTCAAGCACAAAAATCAGTAAAAGGATCACCCTACCGTACATACAAGGAATATCAGAAACTGCAACGAGACTGCTGAAAACCTTCGGGATAGGTGTGGCACACAAACCAACAAAATCACTACAATCAATCTTATGCAAACCAAAAGATGAAATAACAAAGGAGAACAAATCAAACATTATCTACAAAATAAATTGTACCAACTGCGACAAACACTACATCGGACAAAGCGGACGCCCCCTCCACCTACGCCTACATGAACATCAATTAGCAGTCAAACGCCATGATATCTCTTCACTTATTTCAATACACGTGGATAACTACGGACACTCATTCGATTGGGAAAATGTAGAAATCTTAGACAGAGGAAACTCCAAAAACACCAGAGAATTTCTAGAAGCCTGGCACTCAGGTCAATCAGCAATCAACAAACATATTGAAATCAATCCA